GGGATATTCAAGTTGCATAACTTTATCTTGATATTACTATTTCCTGTGAATTATTTATGTGCAAATTGTACAATGTTGTAATTTTTATGGTTTTCTATTAAGTCTCTACACGGCTCCTTTCCGTTTTTGGAGTTTCTATATTTTAAAATAATTTTGACACTGAGGGCACTGTTCCAAATTATGACATCATTGGTTACTGCGGTAACTGCTCACAACTTGAATGGGGTATCCAACTAATAGTTCTATGTTGGTAACTAGCCATAACTGTTAACTGTGTGAAGTGGTTTAAACTTTCACCACCACTTCCCCCTTTTCATCACAAACTCACAAAAACTGCCACATTTATTGAGTAAAATCTGAAAATTGACTTGAAATTTGTCTGTCGGCTTCAAAATTAAGGTTCATTTCCAGAAATATTGAAGAAGTATAGGAAAAAAGTACAGAAAAATTTGGGCGAGAGTCTGGTGGTGAAAAGGTTAAAACTAGCTTTTTTCACTAGTCACAAACCCAAGATCACTGTGATTTAATTGTACATTGATTATACAATAATGTTTAATTCTAGGTCATACCTTTGGTATTCCTGATTCTGCAATGGGAATCACATTCCTTGCTGCTGGAACTAGTATTCCTGATGCTATGGCTAGTACTCTTGTTGCTATGGATGGTGAGTGACTTGATCTGTGTACTTTGTAACAATGTATATATGACCACAGATGCAATAAAATCCTCAAATGAAATAAACTTGCGCATTTATTAAGTTGTCCAAAGCTTATTTTTAACTTTTAATTGTTATGTTCTGCGACTATAATTAATCAAATTAATTTTATATTCTGCTTGAATATTAATAACTCAAAGGTGTAAATTTTTATAAATTCAATATTAATTTTAGATCGATTCTTTATCCAAAAATTTTGGAAAAATTAGGCAGTTTACTTTGTGAGTGTTGACAAACCTTGGGATTCGAATGGCTAATGGTTTGTTTTTTTTTTGCTTACAGGTCTAGGAGACATGGCAATATCTAATATTATTGGTAGTAATATCTTTGAGATCTACATATGTCTTGGTGGTCTGTGGTTCATACGAAGCATTACTGATGATCTAGACCCCGTGGATATTTACAGTTCGGGGCTCACCTTCACGTCAATGATGTTGTTTGGAACGGTCGTATTTGCATTTGGTACGATTCATTTAAATGGTTGGAAACTGGATAAGAAGATGGGCGTTATATGTACCTTATGTTACGCTGTTGTTATTTCGTTTGCAATTATGTACGAGCTTAACGTCTTTGCGGATGTCAATCCTCCCCCCTGCAAATACTAATTCATGTATTCAACTAATATATCTACAGCTCGTGGATTATGCCTACTGCATGTGCTTATCATTTGGCATTGAACCGAATCGGTTTACATGTTTTTATTATCGCAGTCGCAGTCAAAGCATTCAAAACCTTTTGTTTGTTTCTCTGTCTCGTAAAACATTTATACATTTGCTAGTCTGATGTTAAATTTACAACTATTTTCTCTATTATAGGCACACTTGCTCGATAAAACAGCAATCTGTTGGTTCATGTGTGCCTCTTTTAGGGATTTACAAAGTAAACATGTCTATTCTGTGGACCTCTCTAATTTCCAAAGAGACAAATTTTATGTCAGTGAGTGAAAATCTCAATTTGTAGCAGCAAAATTTAAATGTTTTACAGTATTTTGTTACTACGGTTACAATTCTTGTAGTGTCTTTCTAATTTTTCTCATTTCCAAATACTGAATCATTATTCTGGTGCAAAAATGTCAGTTGTTCTGATTTTAGAACAATATTTGATTGGTTGAAGATGTATTTAACATGTTGAACGTCAAGGGGAAAGTCCTGAAACTGAGGCTGTCAATATGCGTCTTGTATTTGCTTTTGTTTGTGTGTGTTGAGTACAAGTGAATGTTCTTCGTTGAAAGTCTGTGAATTTATTGTACATTATATGTAATCCAAGTTTTACAAGGATATAGTGCTTATACTAGTATTAGTCCCTCTTCTCTGTGGAAATAGGGGAGGTGGATTTTTGTACGTGAGTGAAAGAGGGAGGGGCATGTGCATGTATTTAAGAAGTTTCAGTGGCAGTAATGACTTAATTTTAGAATTTTTATCATGAGAATACCAGAAAGTATGCACTCGGGCAGTATGGTGATCATATCTACTGGTGTGTAGCGGGATTTGATTGGTTCTGCCTGAGTGCATACTTATGGGTATTCTTTCGGTAACCTAATTATTATACATCAATGAGAATTAAAAGCTTGAAATAGCAATGAAAAATGTTTTGCATTGTGCAAAATTTGTGCTCAGCGACCAGATTCTGTTTCTGTCATGTGCTGATAGTGGTTCTGCGTCTGATGTAAACAAAGGAATGTGTTCAAACGTGGCACACATTCACCAAATAAGAGAAACATTCGAAACGCGTCCATACAGCGCATTACACAAGATACATGATGGATAATAATTTATTACAGAATATTTGTAAGGTGAACTACTCGGATGGTTGGCGAAGAACAGTACTATTTGTGTTTGAACGTATTTGCTTGTAAAACTTGTTTGCAAATTCACTTCTCACTGTGAATGTGACCAGAATTAGCAGTATATTTTTCTCACTGTAAATGATTCTATACAATAATGCATAGTTTTTTGCAGCATATTTTTGTACGAAATATAATCATCTTTGTCATCTAGTGTTTTAGATAGGTGTACATGCAAGTATTTAACCAAAGTTATTTTAGAATCATTGTCATTAGAATCTTGTAAAGATTTGTTAGGGGTATGTTTACAATCAAGTTCACGCAACTTCAGGATTTGGAAGATGTTATGAACGTGTACTATATGGGGTCGGGTTAAATATAAAATTTGGTTTTAATAAATAATAGATACCGCAGTATTTTAATGAAAGGGGTTACTAAATGCACGATTTTTAGATAACTCATTGAAATCTAGGGATTCTATTTTAATTTAATGTGCGGACTGATCATAACTTAACATGCGGTAATTGACTCTTTCATCATCACTCTTCTCTGTGGAAAATAATGACTCAATCATAATTTATAGTGAT